AACACCTCCACTGCAGATGCCAATAAACTCCCACACAAGACAGAACACAACTGAGCAGCACTACAGAAAACAGAACAAGACAAACAAATTACAATAGGAGAGAACAAATCAGTCTCACCACACCTGTGATTAAAATAATAAATAAATCCCTTTCACAACCCAAAGAGCAACAAAATTTGGTAGCACTGTGGACAGCTCAATGAGCACCCAATTCAAAAGAAAAACCTCAAAGCAAGCTTTGAACTGACTTGATTATGCCAGGTTCCACAGTACTTTCCCATCTAAATCAACGGTTTGCTTCCACCTTGGCTGTGTCCAGTTTTATGAAGTCATACAGTAAAAAAACAAAAAAACCCAAACAAAACTTTCCTTCCTAGAAAGCCTGGACACCAGGTGCCACGTGGCTTCAGAGCTGCAGCACAGCAACAAAACAGGGTGTTTAGGAGAAGCAATTTTGCTTAATACGAAATGCAAAGACAGACTACAGAAACAGATGAAATAATGCTCACACAAAAACTTTTTATTTGAAAGCACTGAATATCGTTCTGAAAAAGAGAACAATAAAAGCAAAACCATTAAAACAGAGAGGGTAAAATGAATTGCACTAATCCATGGTGCTCACTAAACAGACTGAAGGACACGACTGTTTAAAACAGTCTTAAGTATATAAAAATACAGACATCACCTCAGTCTCGAGGAGTTAAAAAACCTCCACTTCCTGGACAGTACTAGAAAGTCTCTTCAAGGCACAACTTCTTAGAAATGGCTACCACAGGAACTCACAAATTACAGCTCTGGTGGAAAACATGAGAGACACTACACAAATTCAGTCTACCTGGGGTTGATACTACCCAGGTCTATCTTTTCCCAATTTCTGCAGTATAAAATGTATAATGAAATTTTTAAGTTCAAATTTGTGTATTACAATATATGTGGGGGGGAAAAAAATCCAACCCAAAATCCCTTGGCATTGAATTCAAAGGGCTGTGCTTTCCCAGTCAATAGGATAAGAGATATTTTATTTTAGTGGGCTGCTTTGTGAGTACATCAGAGAGGAAGCAAGATACTAAAACAAATTAATTGGACAATGCATGGAACAGATCCCTACCCACAGCCACTACAGTCAAAACTACGTAATATTTTCCATCAGCTTTTTTTTTTTTCCTCTAGTTCATAACTTACCAAAAATAAGATACTGGAGGCTGACTTTTCTTCATTTAGAGATTTAGATACAAATTCTGGTAGGCTGAATATTAGAAATTTCATCACTAAAAACAGGACCAAGTATTTTGCATAAATATCAAGTAAGGGAAGCAGAACACCAAAATTCTGACAGCCCTTAAAAGTTCTGTGAAGCTGTTGTCAGGACAGGCTTAGCCAACATGAACAGGACTTTCATCAGGCAGGTAAAGTTCCTAATTAGTTAAAACTATCTGTGTTTGCAGAGCAAATTTAGCAGAAGTTTACTGTGTTCATTGGCTGATCCCTGCAATTTCTGGAAGGCCAGAAGTGTTTAGCAGGGCTGGTTTCTGAAATGGAAAAATCTCTCCCTCCTCTACAGTTCTAAGGGGTACAACAACATCAGATGATCATCTAAAGCATTTTCTCTTACTGAATTAAAGCATTTATGTCCCTTTTCCACCCTTCTGTGAAAGAGGGGCAGACTGGTGGTCATAGCAGTGAAGGAAGAGCTATAAATTGTGAAAAAAGAACTTTCCTGGAAGCCAGGAAGGTTTGGGTGTTCTCTGCACTGCTTCTGTGCATTCCAGTGCACCACTGAGTACATACAAGCACACAACAATTCTGCAAAAGTGAAAAACTTCAAGATAAAGTGAAAATAATTGCACAAAATCCCATGTAACTGCAAAGTCAGCATGAGAATCACTGCTGAAAAAGATGTTTCACTTTTCAATAGCAAATAGCATCGTTCAGCTCACCAAGGAAAGGAGAAAGTTTGGTATCACATCTGACACCACCAATTATCTTTCTATCAAACCACCTTATCTTTAAGCCACCTGAAAAGAACACAGTTATCTGAGGCAACATAATGGTATAGAATTTTTCTTTCCTCAGGAAAATATATTGGTAATGACAACAGCACATTTGAAAAAGCGATTCTGTGTTTTGTCGGCTGCAACTTTGTCAAATGCAATTTCAATATTAGCAAAAACAAAGAGAGCTGAGGCTGCGTACAAAGCTTTCATTCCCTCCTCTTTGTGTGGCAGCTTACAAGGAGTTTCAGCATTCATTTATGGTCTAAAATTAAGCCAAAGAAACTGGATGATTCTGTGATGCCAGCAGCAGAGAAAGACCAGGTCCACATAGACCCTCAAGAGAACAGAAAAAGATTTTTTAAGAAGAGAAGGACAGACCTTTAACAGGGATGTACAGGAGAAACATCCACTGCCACTGAAAAACAAGCTAAGAGGACACTGGTGGATTAAATTCAACCAGATGAAGATATTGCCATTTCTACTACCCCAGTTAAGGCATGAGCACACCCTTCCCTGCACCACATTTTAAGACTGAAGACTCTGAAAGACAATCAACATCTAACATCCAAAATCTTCAAGAAAATGCATGGAAGGCAAAAACAAGTACCTACACTGAAAACTAAAACAGACAAGTTTCAACAGTCTATTCACAATTTTAAAGGGTAACTTAAAACTAAATGACAAGAAAATAACTTTAGTTCCACTAATTTAATAAAGTTGGTTTTTGTGCTAGGGAAAAAAAAGCTGGTATTTCACATGCAAAGCTATAATCAACTTCACACTTTTTATAAGACAATTACTGCTTCAACAATAAATTAGGACCCTCAACATCAGGCAAAACCAAATATCCTTTCAAAGAATAAAAGAGAAATCTGTGTTGTGCTAAGTTTAGAATTAATAAATACATTAAGAACCAGAAGTGCAAGTTCCAGAAGTTTAGGCAGCTTTTAATCAAATCTTTTAACTGAATGACAGTACTTTTATTATGACATTTTTCTATCCTTCTAAAAAAAGTACATCAAAAAGCAACAGTATCAAGATTTTTCTGCAAAAGAATTCCCTCTCAGATTTTCAGATTCTTGACTTTTCACACTTTCTTGAAGCTAAAAAAAGGCTATGGACACAATGTCACAGCAAATTCAACACCAAGTCAAGAATTCAGACACTATTTGGGAAAAAGCAAAAAGGGATCGTTAATTTCCCAATTTTGGAAACAGTGATTTCATGACAACTGTGATTTCATGGGTACAAAAACCCACCTTACTCTTGACATAACAGCATGTTTGAACAAACTCTGCATGTTCAGTTCAGCAGCAATGTTTTGAAATCGGTCAGATATGGCCTCCTAACTTGCTTGATACTGTTTCCAGAAAAAGAATTAAGACTAAAATAGCAAACCCTGTGGCAAATTGAGCGGTTCCTCTGGCAGGGGGCCAGCACCAGGGGCACCCTCCGATGGACTTGGCTGCAGAGCCCAGTTTGGACACGAACTGGGAGAGCAAAGCAGCTCCTGAGCATCAGCAGCGTCGGGAGAGGGCAGCGGGATGCGGACAGAGCAGGGATGAACAGAGCCTTTCCTTGGTGTCAAGGATGTGCTGACAGACCTGGAGAGGCTGCAGCTCTCTGCTGTGTTCACAGCAGCCCTGGCTCGGTGAGGGGCTGTAAACCACACTTGTGCTCTCTGCTCCGAGCAGGATTTCACACACGGTGGGTTTGTAGTTTTCAGATTAACATGCGGCAGGGGACTTCAGAGTCCCTGCTTCCAGGCTGGTTCACAGCACAGCCACGCTCTAATAAAAATCTCCAAGATGCCCTGCCTCGTGTGTGGAGCAGGAAGCTGCTGGGCTGCCAGAAGCCACCGAGCTGCTGAGGCTGTCCGTGGATGATTTCACAGGAAGGAAGCAGAGCCTCGCTCACCATGTGGAGAAGAAGTCGCAGCTCCCAGCCCGGCGCAGGGGAAAGGGCTGAACCACGCTGATAAACTCGGAAGTAAACAAGACACAAGATGAGCTCGGCCCGAGGCAGCAGAACAGAGACACACACGGGTGACAACGCACAGGTGAAAGCACAGCAGTGCCAGGAGCCCGAGGTTAAGGGGCTGGTGCTCCAGGAAGGGGAAAGCATTCCTCCACACCAAACGTGGGTTTGCCCTGATGGCAAACAGCAGCCACCAGCTGGGAGATCATTCCAAGTGAAAGGGAAACTGGTAGGATCGGATAGAGAGTAAATAGAGACTCCCACACATGAAACTACTCTCAGCCCATAGGCTGGTAATATTTTTAATTATCTGTCTCCTTAAGCACAATTTTGAACAAGATCTATCACCAGGAGGTGACAGAGCAACAGCCCGATGTGAGCCACTGTGAACACCTGTAAACTGGAAGTGTACCTGTGCCTGAGCAAGGGAACCCGACACCAGAAACCAAAAGGATCACACCTCTAGTTCTACAGTCACTGGTGCCGAAATGTGCAAATGATGTTACACATGGAAGCAAGACCTTGGACATCAGTCTGGACACACAGAGCTGTAGAGACCTGTCTGCCTGCTGGGCCAGTAAGAGCCCGGTGAGGAAGTAAAAACAGAGGAACTGTACTTCAAGAGGAAAATAATAACTTCTGATTACTGCCCCTTCAGGAGAACCAAGTCAGAGGGGGAAAAAAAAGGAAAAAAAAAAAAAAGCCAGCACCTAACTGTGGATCCCAAGATATGAATGCTTTTACCGAAGCATCTGTAAGAGGAGCACTAAAAGACATCTCAGTTACAGGTCCTGTATTTCCCTACACTAGTCCTTGCTAGATTATCCCTCTAAGGAAGGAAATTTTATGCAAAACAATTGAGAACAGTAGCACAAAATAAAGTTCCATTTATTTTGAAACTTTTCTGGAAGAAAACCAGGTGCCAATCACCCAAACACTGTTGTTTCTACATAAGAATTCTCACCGCAGAAACAGCCTAACACTAAAAAGGAGAAAACATGGAACTGCAAAAACTCGCACAGAATTAACCTGTATTTCCCCAAAGTGATAGTAAACGTCCCTAGAGGAGTTGCTAACTCTTCTTTGCACGTCCGCCTTTCCTTTGCTCCCAGATTCGCTCCCAGCACAGACGAGCCGGAGGACGCCCAGCGCTGCCCCTCAGCGCTCCCGACGTGCGGGCGCTTCCCCCGCACCTCCCCGCGCAACTATCGCGGCGCGGCCGCCCAGGAACACGCGGCCGGCCGGGAATCCCGGGATGGAGCCGGGAGAGAGGAAATGGAGACCCCGGTCCGCAGCGGGAGCCGCGCCGGCCTCAGGGCTCGGCAGAGGGAGGGGGGAGCGCGGCAGGGAAGGCGACCCTCCCCTCAGAGGGGCCTCCGGACACGCGGCCCTGCCCGAGGTGGCGGCGGCGCCCTGACCCTCCTTCCTCCGCCGCTCCAGCCAGGCCCCAGCCGGGGGGGAAGAGGAGCTCCCGGGGCTCCCCACGGACACGGACCGGGAAAGCCGCTCCGGGGGCAGCGGAGGAGGGAAAGAAACCCGGGCGAAAGCTCACCGGGTCCGGCGGAGGGGGCTCCCGGGTACATGTCTCCGTGTGTGCGGCGGCGGAGGCGGCGGCGGCTCCAGGGGAGGGCACGGGGGAGGGAGCGAGCCCGAGCCCCGGCTACGCTGTCGGGGGAAGGGGAGGAGGAGGAGGAAGGAAAGGGGAGGGGGCTAAACTCAAATGGCCATTAAAAAAAAAAAAAAAAAAGAAAGAGGGAGGAGGAGGAGGGCCGGGAATCCAGGTTACTCGTCGGCACTGAGGAGCGGGGAGGGGAGGAGGAGGAGCCGCGGGGTCACGGGGAAGGAGCGCTCCGCCCTCGGCCGGGCGGGCGGGAAGCGGCCGCGGGACCGGGATCAGCGGCGCTGCCGAGTCGAGGGGCCCCGCTCCCTGCTTCAGCCCCCATTCCCTGCCTGCAGCCCCCATTCCCAGCCTGCAGCCCTGCTCCCTGCTACAGCCCAGTTCCCTCCTGCAGCCCCCATTCCCAGCCTGCAGCCCCCATTCCCTCCTGCAGCCCCGTTCCCTCCTGCAGCCCCCGTTCCCTCCTGCAGCCCCGTTCCATTCCCAGCCTGCAGCCCCGTTCCCAGCCTGCAGCCCCGTTCCCTGCCTGCAGCCCCCGCCTGAGCTCTGCCCGCGGAGTCACAGAATCAGCCAGGTTGGAAAAGTCCTCGGAGATCACCGAGTCCAGCCTGTGACCGGGCATCACCTCGTCAACCGGAGCAGAGCACGAGTGCCGAGTCTTTATCCTTAAACACCTCCAGGGATGGTGACTCCACCACCACCCTGGGCAGTCCATTCCGATGTTTAATCACCCTTGCTGTGAAGAAACTCCTCCTAATGCCCAGCCTAAACCTCCCCTGGTGCAGTTTAAGACTATGTTCTGTCATCCTGTGGCTTTCAGTGAGACGTTGGAAAATGACTTTGTGCCTCTAGCACTCTCTCCACTACCTCTCCCTGTTACATGTTTGAAAGATATCCTGTAATTAAATCAGTATTACACATACTGCTGGATCTTGAATTAAATTTGGATTTGTTTGTTTATATCCTTTTATTTCTCCTGTTGCTTTGAAAACCTCAGCCCAGTTACCTCACGGATTCCCATATCCACTTTTAGGCATATCTATGAAACCCAGCTGTGGTGGGGTTGCCTTAATTGTTCTTGTCAACCAGATAATGTCTGGTACTGTACACATGTAAAGTTTATTACAACCAGAAAATGGACCAGGGAAAACAAACTAGAAAGGACATGAAAGCGGCAGAGAACTGATCACTATGATGCCCTGAGACCCTGGAGATATCCCTGGGGGAATTTAAAAGACATGGATGTGGCATGTAGGGACATGGCTTAGTGATGGGCTTGGCAATGCTGGGTTAATGGTTGGACTTGATGATCTTACATGTATTTCCCAACTTAAACAATTCCATGATTCCGCATCAGAGATGATAATTCCTGCAGGAACTGTCATTCTTTTGTAGTCACCTAATTAGTACCTCTTTCTTTCACAAGAAAGTAGGAAAAATAAAGTTAAACTTGTTAAGGAGGCAAAAAGGAAAACAATGATGCTCACTTCCACTGGAGTTACCTACAGAGCTCCAGCACAGCCATGATCTGTACTTTCAATCACCTCCTCCACGTTGATGTGGAAGCCTTTAAAAAATTCATGCAGTTTTTAACCCAGAACAGTCAAGCCCCATCAAAGTCAACTGAATTCCTTCACCAAGTATTGTCTGCCAAAGAGCAAGACAAACATACAAGCTTGCAGTGTTCATCAAGCCAATTAATATCCTTCTTCATCAGTTCATGTCTCAAGTGATACAGAAGCATCATCTCACTGTTCCAAAGTATTTACTCTCCCCTTTGGGTCATACTTGCAGATATTTGAGGGCTGCTATTAACAGCTCAGCTTTCACTTCAAGTGAACTGTTCCTGAAACCATTGTCACCACTGGAGTTTCCACTGGAGTGATTTTGGATTTGTCTTCATTCCAGGCTTCTCAAATTGCTGGAAAGTAAAGATTTACCCGTAACTATAAACAAATAAATTAGGACAAAATTATGGGTCAACTTTAGTTTTAAAGTAAAGTCAAGCAGCTCTAGCAAAAAGATAAACAAAGGAGCTGGCAAAGGGGACGCCGTTTCCTCCCTATGAGGATCTGGGTAACATTTTTTCAAAACCACCAATAATTTCTGGTATATAACCTTACTAGAGGCTGAAAAAGAGGGTGGTTGGGAAAAAATCCCCCAAAACAAGAGCCAGAAGATAATTATGTGAGGCACATTTGGCCTTTCTGGTGAGGTGGTAGGAGAAAAACATGCAGTTTCTGTATCAACATCTAATTTTTTGATGCTATATTTAAACCAATCTCTTCAACCTGATTAGAAATATAACTTTCTCTAAGATTAGACACACTATTGTGCCTGTTACACCTGCATTTAAGAAAGAAAAGGGCATAAAATACAATGACAACTTTCTGGAAGTGTTCACAGGACTAATTTGGTCACCCTGGCTATCAGCACTGACTTAGGCTGAAGCTCCAAATCCCCTATGGTACTGTGGTAGCAGTTTGAAAATAAAAAGCTAACAAGCATCAGAAGACAGGTGAAATATAAGGGGAGGTTTTACAAAATACTAAACACTCATCCCACACTTCCTTCTGGCTCCACAGGATCCTCTGCAATTGATTTCAGAAGTTCCCTAAAAAAAAGAGATCTGAAAATGGCAATTAATGTCTCAAACATCCTAGAGTGCAAAATTCTTTTACTGATTTAAAGTTGATTTCTCTGGATTTAGCACTTAATAAGCAAAAGCATTTGTCACTGTTTATACAAGACTATAGAACTTCACAGTCAGCTAAATAATAAATTAAATTGTTTTATTTGAGCACAGTTTTCCCATGTGGAAGTGCTGCTGTTCCTCAGGTATATTTTCATGGCACTGAGCACTTCCAGCAGCATTTCTGTGCAGCTCTCTTCTACCTCTGTTCACACACTCATTTTGGGCCATGTCACTTGCTTTATTCCCAATGTTTTCTGTCACTCACAACTGCTGTTTTGGAGCACAGCGAAGCCTAATTATGTCTTACTGGGCCATTTCACCCAAAAAAGGCTTCAGTTCTTGAAAAGGTTTGTTCTGAAAGAGAGGTTTGAAAGCTCTGTAACAGCATTCTTTTAAGCATGGTCTTTATATGCTGTATTAACCATTACATGGTAGTATAAGAACAGCTGCTTAAACACTTTAAATTAGGTTTTTCTAAAAAAAAAAAAACAAAAACATAATCACTGTTGGGCACAATACCTGTCTCAACTGGTGGATTTCAAGATGACATTTCCCAGAACTGATATCTGTCACAGAAGAAATTATTAATTTTGGAAAAAAAGCATGTTCTAATAATTCTGGAAGCAAAGATGGTATTTAGGAGCAGCATTTAAAAATCATTTATAGCAGCAGCAGCAATCTAGGGAAAGTATTTTATACACAAATAGGCCAGTGAAAAATGATACAGCTTTTCTTTTGATGAGAATGATACAGCTTTTCTTTTGATCTCCCTAAGTAACAACCATTTTAAATGGAATTAATTTTAAAACCCCAGAGTTTATAAATGACAGTCATTGCTTACAATGATACAGTAGCAAAAATTTTCACTCAGAAATGGAAGATGTAAATTTTATTCTTGACTTGGAGGGGATTTAGGCTTGTATTTGCCATCTCTCAACTGGCCTAAGATGTTTTAAGATGTTATCCAGGAGTACATGCATTAGACCTGTCACATATTCTGCATTCTGTTTTATATAAGAATTTAAAATCAGAACCAAACTGAAGAAGTCCATGGCTCTATGCCCTAAAGTGTTCACATTTTACAAAGACTTTGAGGATTCTAGTCCCCTGCTCAGGAGTTGTTGGTTATTTTAACAGTTAAATATTTAACCACAATTAATCCACAGTGGAGGGACAAAACACGATTTTTGAGTTTCCATAATCAGATAACTGTCCCAACTACCAAGCTACAAAGCTGCATTTGATTTACTTTGTCAAATTAATTGCAATAATAATTTATAAAAAACAGAACAAAACAGAACAACTAATTATAATTAGATTACTAACTTCAGTTTACCAAAAAAGACAGTTCTTCCAGGTGATCAGGGCCAACAACGTAACAATTCAACTTGATGGAAAAGATGCAGCACCACCTATTGGGGATGTGTTACACACACTGGTTGTTACAGTTTCAAGAAATAGCAGTTTTGTTCTTCATTGTAATAACATTGTTACAAGGGAAAAAAACCAACCCAAAGTCAAAAAAACCAAACTAAACCAAACAAAATAAATCAAAATAATTTTTTTTAAACCAAAACAAATAAAAAACAAACAAAAACCCATAAAAACAAAATAACTCAACTAGGAAGAAAAGGACTTTCCAAAAAGAAGATAAAAGAAGAAAAGACTACCTGAGACTGTTCACCAAGAAAAAAGCATGTCCCTAAGTGCCACATGTAGATGTCTTTTAAACACCTCCAAGGCTGTTGGCTCAATCCCTCCCTGGGCAGCCTGTTCCAATGCTTGGCCATCCTTTCCATGCAGAAATTTTTCTTAATAGTGAATCTAAACTTCCCTGAGTACAGCTTGAGCTCATTTCCTCTCCTCCTAGCATTATTACCTGGGAGAAGAGACCAACCCCCACCTGATTTCAGTCTCTCTCAGGCAGCTCCTTCCCTCCCCAGCTTTGTTCCTGTTCTTCAGACAGGCTCCAATGTCCTTCCTGCAGTAAAGAACCCAAATCTGAACACAGGACTTGAGGTGTGGCCTCAGCAGTGCTGAGCACAGGGGGACAATCACTGCCCTGGTCCTGCTGGCCACACTTTTCCTTTGGTCACTGAGAAACTGCAGCCTTGAGAGCTGGAGAGAGGCAGCTCAAGGAGAGAAGAATCACCTCAGGAAGGTTAAAAGCAGCAACAAAATAGTAAAGGACAAGGAAAGAGAAAGCAACTATCAACTTCAAGTCTCCTCTTGATCTGACCACTTTGAAGACCACCAGTGCCCTTGGTCATGTTCTAACTCTCAGCACCAGCTCTGTTGTGTTCACACAGCTAATTCAGGGTGAGGTGCTAAGGGCTGACTGCTGTGTGTATGAGAATTACAGATCTTGCT